TCAAAAAGAGACGATACTCATTAAGTTTCCTTGGAAGAATACTCATTGGATACACAGGAGTTATCCAGCAATATGCAGATAAATTGGGTACAGGAAATGGAAATAGAAATGTGGCTAATTTTCTTCCTTAGCCAATGAAGCAAAGACAGGCGTTGAACAGGACCAGGTACGGGGCCCTCCCCAGCCCTGGGCAGATGGACCACTACCACTCGGCTTCATGCTGGCTCATTTACTTGGTGTTTTGCAATCCTTAATGTGCACAGCTGGCAGCTGAACGCAGGTTTGATACTAACAGTTTAGACATCTTTAGATGGAGCAGATGGAAAATTTTACACAAATAAAGTAGGAGAAAGTGTGCAATTAGGTTTTTATCTGCAGTTGCATGCCGCATCCTCTGTTTTAGTTTAGAACATCACCTTAGTGGGTGGTCATGATCTCCCCTTATGTCCAGGCCCTACCTTCTTGACACCACATTTGATGTTGGCTAAATTCCCAAGTCCCAAACTTTTGTTTTTGTTGAGTGTGAATGAAATAGGGAATGCAGCAATCAGCAGAGAAAAAGGCATACCATCAGAGAGACTGTAACAGTCCAGTGCATTAAGGTTGCATTCCTTGCTAGTTAAGTCACTATGGTAAAATCCTTGGCAGGATTTTTTTCAATAGTTTATTCATGATGTTCATTATTATGAGTTGTAAAGAGTATGAGAATTTCATTTTTAAAATGTCTTATGGAATGTATCACTTTCTTAGATCTTGTAGACATGCTGTGGAAACCATAACATAAAATATGAGTTACTTACAATAACTAATTTTAATCCCATCTGCTAAGTATGACAACATTAGCATTTCCACTTAATTAAAAACACCCTTAAAGCAGCGATGTTTTAATCACTCCATTTTATTTACTCTCCTCCGGTGTCACTTATAATTGTAACTTTTTATTTTTTAATAATGAGGGATTTTTTTTTCTCCTTGCATCACACAAAAAAAGTGCTGTCGATAATTAGCAGTCTTCTGTTATTAGTAGACTCAGGTGTCACAACTGTGTCTCATCCTCATTACAGTAAAAAATTTCACCTATCAGATTCATTATTGCTAGATAATGCGACTGAGAGCCTTTGCAGGCCCTCCAGAAAAGTAATTCAGCCAAGCAAAATTATCAGCTAATTATATTTAGAATCAGAAGCCCAACAACTATTTGCAGATAAATTGTATGAATTGAAGTGAATAGATCTGAATATTAAGATTCATAGATTTAGCTGATGATTTGTTAATTGGAATAAAAAGGTCATTTACTAGTCATTTTAACAATAGATCAATTGGAACCCTATTTATTATTTAACTGGTAGTGCATAAGGATCGAAATGATGAATAATTGTATTATCAGGAGTGTTTTTCAGAATAACAAGATATGAGGAACTTATGAGGATGCTATGTGATTTATTTTTAAATGTTCGTATATTTTAAAATGTAATCCCAAGCTAAATATTAACACTAGTATTTTAACAAGTCCAAAACTAGCCGAAAGAGACTGTTCTGGTTTAATGAATTAGAACTTCAACTATGAATTAGATGATTATTTGCAAATAAAAACTAAAATCTAAGTGGTTGCTGTTATTGTTTTTAATTTTCCCTTTCACATTAAATAATGCTTTTCCTATCTTATTGTATGGCATTATACTTGATAGAGACATTTTGGACATAGTGTGGCATATACTCATACAGCAACTCAAAATGTAAGTCAGCCTGTAATGATTTTCTTTTAGGGTATAGCATAATTCAAATCCATTATTAAAGAGCAGATAATATGCACTTTCTGAAATGCCTGTGAGTTCACTCTTAATTCATGTAATTATAAGAGAATGTTCATATGTATTTGCTTTTCCGTTGGCACAGCATTTTAAAACGGAGTGACTTCAGACACCATGCACATTTTCTTTTGGTTCGTGAAGTACATCACAGGCTGATATGCTCAAAAGTTTTCTTAATGATTTGTACTGTGGCACAGTGTAGTTTATAGCTGTGCTTACAAGACTGCACATGTAGAAAAAGGTTAGATAGTTTGTCTTCTAAAAGGAATAGTTGGTCACTAAAACCTTTGCATTTCTATTGTGTTTTGTAAAAACCTAGCATTTTTCCCAAAATTGGACCTCAAAGTAAATACTTTCCCTTTATACTAATTTCAGCTTGACATAATAAAAATAGGGAGAACATCACCCACTTAAAAACAGTTTAAATTGCGTGTACTCTGTCACTGTAAATAAACAAGGTAAATATTGACATGACTTCAGATCATTCTTGGACTGAAAAAAATCTGCAGTTCAAAATAAATTCTGCCTTTGGTCAACATTTTGGATGCAATTCAAAGTTTCTCATAAAATAAACATATTTTAAAGAGTGTTTTGAATTTCACTGCATAATTTCTAGCCAACAGAAATGACAGTGGTATCTTCAAGGTTTATGATATGTCAGATCAATAGCCATTATACAAACTCAGCAAGACTGCAAGGGGCAGTACCTTCCTCTGCTTAGCCCCCCAGCACTGCAACAGGGAGAGAACTTCCTGGAGATGCTCCCGGGGAAACTCACAATGCGAAACTTTGTGCTTGTTTAATAATAAAAGTATTCTCCCCTGATAAAATAGAAAGTAAGCTGAATTTTTAGTCAGAAAAGCAAAATGTTCATTACAATGATTTGAACAAGACTTTTTCCACAAAGGGAGAGTTTTACATCTGCATAATAACAAATTGTTTCAAAGCCTGAGCTTGAAATGAAAATGCCCCATCACAACAGATTGTAAATTTTTTTCTTATGCTTTTAAAAGTGCCTCGATCATTTCTACGGCTTCCCTGCTAAAGTATTTGCTATTTTATTTAAACGGTTTTTGAAAAATGAACATTCTGAGGCTTTGCAGCATTATTAAGAAAAGCTGTCCATACTTTCCCATGTTGTTGAATGTGTTTATCTGCTGATTATAAAATGTGTTAAACAGTATTTTAGAAACAACAAAAATGCAGCGCTGCGCTTTGATTAATTCAGTGAACAAAGCATATGCTGCCGGTTCTGTCCCATGAAAGTCGGGTATGATCAATAAAATCTTGCAAAGAGCAACTCTGGCATTTAGGAGTAGACTGCCGACCATGATTTTGTCCCCCTCAGCTCTGGGCTCATACTGCTGTCTTAGACAAACAGATCCCTTCTGACTGGGATGCGATGCCTGCTGTACCCTTGTCCTCTTTCTGACGTTTCTGCAGGTTGGAAGCTGTGTACTGTGGCTGTTACCCACTTTGTCCCAAAGACTTGGTTTATCCTGAAATATTTCCAGGTAGCTGCTTTCATGTGCTTTGTCTTTGTTGTGATTTAATACAGGATTCATGCTAAACTAAAAGTTTGAAAATAAACTTAAGTAGGAGCAATTGTTTATTTGGCAAGTCAACATGTTAGTGTTAAGGAAAAATTTATGTGTTTTAATACATTAGAGTAAGCTTATATTTACCATCTGTTCTTTTAAGATAACAAAAAAAGCAAGTTTTCAAATAGCATTCTTCATTGTTAGCATACACATCTCATAATGACGGATTTTTATAAGCAGGTCAGTACTGCTGCAATTGCTAACAGATTTTTTTTAATGATACACACAGAGAAAATTCAAGGATTGAAAGTCATACCAAATTCTTTAAACAATTGAGTAGTTAATAATATGCAACTGTTGTACCGAGTACATACAGCTATAGCACTGGTTCTTTGAAAAATTCTCATCACTAAATATATCACATATGCATTGTGCTACATTAGAATAATGTATTTTAATCACCCAGAGGAGATGTCTAAACAGCACAACTACACAGTCTTATTTAGCATTAAACATCCTTGTGAGCTGAGGTAACCTTATAAAATCATGCTTAAATAATGTAAAACATGAGGCGGCACAGAGCAATATGCATTTTTAATTAGTAAAGTGACTAATATCGAGTGTGTGCTTTGAGGTTTTTGTTTCATTAAAAATGTATCTGTTTTTCCTGCAGCTGAGTATCTGTATTCCACACCTGAACAGCTTTCAAAAAGGCTCCAGAGTTTCTGCAAGAGACCAGATATTGTAAGAAAACATCTTTATAAGGTAGCTATTGAGAAGAAATTTACGTGATAGAAATACCACATTTAAGTACAAAGAAAATTTAAAAAAAAAAAACATCTAATTAACATACTAATGTTTAAAGGAAACATGCTAGGGAGGGGGTATTGGTTGTTACACTAACAAGGATTAATTAAACTGGATGCCAGTTGTATTAACCTAGGTCTTAGGAAATACGTGCACTTCATGCACAGTACATGCTTTCTTTTTAATTTATTGTTTTCTAAGATGACTGTCCTGTACATTTAGCCCCAAGAGGCTTATAAAAATGAACCTGGATTAATGTAACTCATTAGTTTAAAAGGAAGTAAAGGAAAGATTCCACAATTATACTAATAAGGATAAGCCTTTCTTCCCATCATAATGAAATCTTAAGCCCTCAAAAATTTAGGTGAGTGACACAGTGAAGTTTGCTGCTGATTTTTTAGCTATTAAGAAGATGCGTTTCAAAAGTTGTATTCCCCTCATCCTGTTCAAAATGGGTCATAAAAAATTCTCAATTTGTTTAGAGTCAGGTCCATGGGTCTCAGTTCAAAAGGTCAAGACAAATGGATTATGTAAAGAGTATCATCGGCACTCACCTCCTCTTCCCTTACCTGAATCAAGCATCTTACATTGTTGAAATTGCACAAAAAGCCCCTACTGAAAGTGTTATTGAAGTGGGAATCTGCTTTCTGGGCTTCCAAGGTGGATCTAGGCCATGAATAATTTACCTTCTTATGTTCTTTGGCTACAGTATCTTTATATAAGGTTAGCATAGTTTACAATATAGCACTTTTATAATATAGAACCTTTTCATTTTCTATGTTAATATATTAACTTCAGCATGAAATACACTCTCTGCCTTTTCCTTTTTTCAGGCCTAAATACATATTTACATGGTGATACTTGAAAACATGACTTTATTTCTCCAGGAAACAGTTAAACTTCAACAAAAAGGGAGAGAACCAAAAATGCAATTTAACACCCAATTTCAAGCTCATTATCTTTCATTGTCTATTAACTTGGCAATGGTTCAGAAGGTAGCTCATAATAGTTTAAAATGCTGACTGAACAGTTCCAGGCCTCAGTGTCACTCCCAGAGTCGATACTGTCGTATTGTGCATGTGAAGCCTTGCAGAGTGTGGGCCTCCAAGGCTCACTCTGCTGTTTACTCACTTCCAAGTTCAATAGTAGTCTTGTTCACATACAGCACACACCAGTTAGTCCTCCATGCCATAGGTAGGCAGAACATGCAGGTTAGGAAATTAAAGAAATAGAAGAAGTTTTGGTACAAGTGGATTCTTGTTCTGTTTGTAATATGAACCCAATTCAGTGTTTTCACACTTAAAGTATCAACTTTTGTTATGTCTGAAAAATTTTTGGATTAAGTGTTTACAAATATATTATACCATCAAAATTTATTTGTTTTAATGTTGGTTCAGGTCAAGTCCTATTAGGCCTATCACTCTACATCTGAGTCTTCAACTGTTTCACAAGGTCCTGCAACAGTTGTCCGTAGTTAGAAAAAGAAACAGATTTCTAGCTGACCTTTTTCAATAGAATTACTACCCTTCTGGGATATAGTGTTTATTTTACAAATAAATGGAAAAACTCTAAAAGAATGTTAGCTTGTTGTATGATGTTAATATACAAAGTTCTTTGTGTACTTAAAAAAATGGCTCATAGTTAAACTGCTACATTTTAACTCTCACAGATAGTTTTAGTTTTCACATGATAAAACCTTGCAACTCAATGTTTTATAAATTAGTAATCTATGAGAATTTACATGTATATTTTAAGTACTTTTGCAATGGATTTTTTTATTTTAAGTTTATTATATACCTTCATATATGTTCTCATTGATAGATATTAGTGATATTGTATCTCAAAATTTAAAGAAATTTATCTTAATTTATAAGTAATCAAGAGCTTTAAGACAAATGGACCATCATGAGACACTGGATTAAAAACCCTAGGAATGGACTCAAGTCTGATTTATTATAGTAAAACAGATCAAACTAGTAAGAATGACTGTGTCCAAAGCTACCATAACCTACAGTCATGTCTCCAGTTCTGTCCTGTTCATGTCCCAGTCTCAGGTGGCACTTGCTCTCACTGGATAATAGAGACTTAACTTCCCTCCAGGACAGCTTTACGTACTTATGAAATGGAAAAGGACCCTTTGTGTGTTTGTGAAAGGAATGCAAGGGCTTTTTTATCTTCTTCTTTTTAATCTCTTCTTTTTTTCTTCTTCTTCCTTATTTATTTTTTTTTATTTCCTCCATTGGACAGTTGTGTTTTGCTTTTATAAAGCATATGCTCTTAAAGTCTAAAAGGACCGAATATCACTGGATGCCTTTATTTGTTCCTTTTACATTTTACACATTTTCTTGTTGTTTTTAGAGGTTTATGTTTGAAATCTTTCCAGCTTCATACCATATAGAGTTTATCCTAGGGTAGATTTTTTCATATGGATTCACACTTAGAAATTTAATGACTGGAATAAGGCTATTAATACTTGGCTTTCTTCTTATATGAAACATTGCACATTCAATATGACTAAGAAATTGGGGGCTGTAACTTGCTGCAGGATTTGAAGCAAACACAGAACTAATTCTGTCTTGGTGTCCTTTTGTTTCTTAAAGTGAATTTCTGCACTAGAACTCCATGACCTCTTTACCTGAATCATTTAAGACCTGTGAGACTTAAATATTCATTCTCTCTCTCTCTCTCTCTCTCTCTCTCTCTCTCTCTCTCTCTCTCTCTCTCTGTGTGTGTGTGTGTGTGTGTGTGTGTGTGTGTGAACACACATGTGTCTCATGCACACACATATACACACTTAAAGAACATTGGAAAAACTAATACATGTAAAAAGTAAGTGTTTCTTAATAATCTTAAAATCTAAAGCCTTTTATTGCTTTAAAAAAATTTAAAAACCACTTCTTAAAAAATTTACATGTATGAATTACACACAAATTTTGACTATAACTTTCTTCTAACATTAAGCTATGTCTTGCTCCAGGTAGGAAATTACACTAACTATGTACTTCCATAGGGAAAAAAAAGTTTAATTTTGTTCACAGTAAGAGCTCTTCTAGACCACTCAGCCTACTATAAACAAATTTCTAAGAGAACTCATAAGACAGACTGAGGTCCATTGACTTTTTACACTAACAGTAAGTATCCTTCCTACAAGCCAGCCTGGGCCTAAAGTTGCGCTTTTTGCCTTGATTTTAGCCTATGACTCACTGAAATACTCTAAAAGTTGTATGAGACTAGCACTTTGTGCTTTATAATAACTTTTTATCCTTTTATTTTAAAATGCTTTGAAAAAAAAGAGATGATCCCTTATCATCAGTATTAAAAATAGAACAAGAATATAGCTAATGTGTAGGGTAGACACTACCCAGGCTAACAGCAGAGGCCTCATTTCCATCATTTGCTTTCATTGACAAACTGAGCAATGGGCTGTGAGTATGTGTGGTATGTATGTTTGTGAGTGGTGTATCTGTGTGTGTGTGTATGTTTATGAATGTGTGTCTGTGTGTATCTGTATCTATGTGTATATGTGTCTGTCTGTGTGTATTTGTGTGTGTGTGTGTGTGTCTTTGCATGTGCTTGTGCATGGGGGAAAGGGAGAATGGTTCCCTTTGCTTTTTTGAGAGTGACCTGTAGTTTCTTAAGGTTCTCAGAGGTTAACTGTTGCTTTTTACTCTGCCCTTTTTAAACTGCTCAACAGTTGAGACCCATAAAATCTATTATTTGGAGGAAAGAATTTTCATATTTTTGTCTAAAACTAATTCCAAACAATGATTTTGCTTACAAAGCAGACCCGATGCCCAGAAAAGCCATTTACAGTTGTCTTAATGATGTCAAGCTACATCCTTCCGAACCACAGCCAGGCTGTTTTTAAGTTCCCTTCAAGAGATGGTCACTCTGGAGTCTGGATAGGGATAAGGTGTATCTCACCAGCATTAACACTACTCTAAAATCTTACTTTTTCCTGAGGAAACAAAAAGATTTATAGTGATATCATAAGGGCTTATAAAATTTCTAAGCAACACCTGCAAAATGTAATGAGAATTCTCAGTCTTAAGGTCTTTCTCTCCTTCTTCTGTCTCCCATATATCTTCCTCCTCTCCTCCACTTTTCTTCCCTTACTATGATTTTATGTGGTTTGGCTCAGCTTTGGCCAGTTCAGCTTACTTGAGATTTTGTTATTCTCCATAGGTAATTTCTTGGCCTCTGGGTTACCCATCTGTAGATCTAGAGGTTTTTTCCTTTTTCTTTTTTTTTTTAATTTTCCCCAGCCATAATAGCATTTTTCCCCGAGGAAGTGCTATAATGAAATAATGAATAAAACCCATTTGGAAATGTAAAGCACCTTATAAATTCCATGTACTAGTAAGGGCATTTATCTTGTGTCCTTGCTCCTTAAGGGTAAAATTCATATTGGCAAAGCTGTGTTTTGAGAGTATTGTGTACCTCCTGTGTATAAAAGTTCAAAGACAGGTGGTGAACTTCTAAGAGCAGTCATCCATGGCATACATACACCCAGGAACGTGTGCAGCAGTGCCCATGTGCAAACCGCTTCCTCTCACAGTTGAGATGCAGACAGAAGGCAGGCTTTCCTGGGGTGACGGAGCTCGGTGGCTTTGAGCTTGTCGCTGGAGAGATGAGGCAAGTTTGCGTATGAGTTTTCAGGCGTCTCTGTTTCTCGCTGCTCTCTAATCTCTCCCCCCCCCCCCCCTTGTTGCAGGGTGAAGTGGCTCCATTTTCTTGGGCAGCCCTACATGGTAAATTCAGGTCTCTGCTCACAACAGAACCAAGGGAAGATTTGTGACAGATGGGGCTAAGTCACAAACTTGCAGCCTAAGGCAGAATCTGAAGAACTTTCCAGAGTGTGCCCATATTTACCTGATCAGAGAGAAAAGAAAATCTGCAGAGGAAGCCGAGCCTGGCTGCTTGTCATAGCTGACACAGAGCCATCTGCCACAAACCTGTGGCGGCTTCAGATCTCCAATCCCTGCCACCACCCCAACTCAAATTAAATACAGATTCCTAGAGACGTTATGATGGTTACACATGTCCTCGGCATCACATGTAGGAGACTGTTCAAAAAAAATATGTGGCCTGTTGTATAACCGCACTCATGTATCCCATATGTGGTGCCACATTGAATTTCCGGTTGAATCCGTTTTTATCCTTTGTACTGGATGACATGGTGCCTGAATTCTTTCTTTCTGCCGACACGATGGCAGCCAAACTGCAGCTTCAAACACTCACACTTGGCTGAGTTTCTACCTGGGTTGCCAGGTTATCATCCGAGCCTTCTTGTGTCCTCAAAGGGCCACGGGGCCTAGAAAGAGGATCAGAATGCTCCTGAACTAATTGGGCAGCCATCTCAAAGCCGCTGTAGGCAAAGGGCTGCTTTAGCACTTTTCTTTCAGCAAATTAATGACTCTCTGGCACAGGAGTTTTTAAGTGAAGGTATTAATAAGGGGTCTGGCAGGTATTCCCCTGATTCACAGAGTTTCATTTGCATTTAATTAATCTTAAAGAAACTTGCAAAGATAAACAGCTGTAATTCGGACAAACATGGCAGATACAGTGAGTGAAGTCCTCTCATCCATAAAATGAACACAAGATACTTGTTTTAAATTTTTTTTCTATGGGTAAAAATAGAGAAATCAAAATGCTTCTAACAAAACCATAATTTGGTACAAATATTCTTCAAAATATTTGCATCCAACTACACATATACTCTTTCTGAGATTAGTCACTTGTAATTCTTGTTATCATGCTGCTCTGTTTGTTGGTGTAAAGATATTTTAAATGGCTGGATTGTAAAATAAATTTTTAATAAACTGCCCGCTGTAATTTTAATTAGCATATTCATTTGTGTTTAAGTGTGTGCACCTATCTGCGTTTCTTACTGAATGTTTCCTGTGTCAGAGAAGACAGAATACAATTGTCTCTTGTAAGGATGAACAAGGATCTGTGTTGCAAATGTTTGTTACATATTATGACATTTCCAAGACTTTCTTTGCATTCTGGAAAGCAGGAGGTAAACATTTGTAGTCATTAAGGTAAAGTCTGTTGATAAAGCATCTTCTGTTTACTAACAGGTAAATTGTAACTTCCTTGGCTATTGAAATGAAAAACTTCTATGTACTGCAGAGTGAGGAAAAGCCAGAGAGGTGAATAGACAACCAACCCTGGTTCCCTGTTTTCTAGAAGAGCTGGGTGGTCTAACAAGCATCCAAGATGGAGCAGATGGTTGCATTGAAGTCCTACAGAGTCCATGTGATAGGTATCAAAATAGAAATCAGAAAATCCATCAGTGTTAGGGAGCCATGCACAGTCCTCAGGGTAAAGGCAGTCATGTAGATCAGTGAACCAGGAAGGAAGCCCCTGAGAGCTGGGGATTGCAAAAACGGAAATGGGAGCAGCAGAAATAACAAGCTGTCTGGGAGTGGACTCGTTCCCACCTACTATGAGAACCAAAGCATACGTGGCCACTATGCCACCAGCTTCTTGTCCTCTCCTTCAAGGAAGCCATCATAAAATAAAGGGCCCAGAAGCTCTCCAAAGTCCCGATTTAGAGTCTAAGACTTTGGAATATGGAACCTAGTAGGGATGCCCCATTTGAGAGCAAAGCGGGTATCATTGTAAAACAGAAGCTCATGGACGCATCTCTTGGGCAGGATTTTACTGTATACCCTTTAATGAAATGATCCAGTCAGAAAGATGCTTTTCACAGGTGGCCAAGAAGGAATGCTTGGTTTCTCTGGTTTTATGTGGTGCCTTTTTACTGGTTAATAGGAAGAAATGAAATCTCTTCAGAGGGTATGTCCCAAATATTTAAATATTTTTCTGCTTTTTTTTTTTTTTTCAAATAAGGTCTCCTGTTTCCCCAGTTCATCTCAAACTCACTATATAGCACAGCATGACCTTGAGCCCCTATCCTCCTGCCTCAGCCTCCAAGGTGTGCACCACTGTGGCTTATGTGATGCCAGGCAATTGTAACCCAGAGCTTTGGCAATTCTAGGCAAACTCTACCAACCAAACTACATAGGTAGCCCCATCTCCCTGGTTGGGGGCAACTGTGATAATGATTCTGCGCATAACCTGTGCATGGGGTTTTTCCTGGACTCAAGTCAGACCAACTTTTGCTTTTAGCTCTGCAGGGTAAAAATTTACATCATAGTTGCCATTTAGGAAAAACTATACATTCACATCCAGTGTTGGTGCACCTAAGTTATAAAAAGTTTTGTTGATACATAATTCTGAACATTTTTAAAGGCACATCTGTATCTGTGTGTGTGTGTGTACTTCCCAATAACCACGACATGGTGAGTGCAGTGCTAAGTAGTTAGTCAGCACTTTAAGTCAGTGGATAACAGGGAATATAGTTGACTCATTATTTTTTTAGAAGAGAGGCTAAATAATCCCAGTAGGCCCTATTTTTTTAGTATGTTGGGGGTTATTTTTGAAACTTTGGTCTTTTATAGGTAATTTTAATTTTTGTTCTTTTAATTTAAATAGCTTTAAAACTCTAGCCATTATCAAAACTGATGCAGTGTCTAGGGTGCTTGCCCTCTCTCTACCTACTCTCTGTTTCTCTTAACAGGTAATATGATATGTAGTTCTTAACCTCATCATTATGCCATATTGATCAGGATAGATGAAAAACTATCAAAACATTACTGTTTGGCAGGCATCTTTCAAATACAGTTAAGTTTGAATGCCCTGCTCTTATTCCCAAGTCTTCAGGCATACCACACAGAGGAGATAGTAGAACACATAATAAAATGGAAACTCTTAGCCATAGAAGGCCACATGGATTAATTTCAACACCTTGAAATGCATCTGGAAGCCAAGACTTCATTTTATGTTGAAAGTGTTAATTATATTTGATATTTTTAAAAGTAAAATCTGTTTTTGAAAAAGCATCTGCTACCCAGAAATATCATGAGCCACAAAAAAGATTTCATATAAGCCTCAAGATACATTTCATGGGTGATGGAATCAGTCTTCAAATGTTTCCCTGATGTCCTTTAATGCTGACATGTTCTGTGCTTCTTACTTTTCTATAGGGTCTTAACAAGCCTTGCCTTAGCTGCCTCTCACTCCAGGAGAAAGCTGGAGTATTCGTCATCAGATGTTATACTTAACAATGAAGAGAGTATATTATAAACATCACTGTAGATGTGCTGCATCTTAAATAGAGATTAGGCCATCTTTCCTTAAAGCATTTATTAAAATGCAACTGAGAAAGTTTTAAAACAAGCAGTTTTTACCTGCTCGAAGAAGGTAAACATGTGGTTAAAATATTGCACAAGATGATGAGAATGAGCACCAACTTTACAACTGTCCTTTCAGAGTTCTGGTGGAAAGGGGACAAGCGGGCAGTAGAGACTCATTGATTCTGTGATAACAGCCTCCTACTCTGCTTGGTTAGGCCATTGGCTCAGAAAGCCTTACTATTACTCTTGCTCTCTGCCTCTGTGTTTTCAATGTTATTATTGATGTTATTATTGGGTGTGCCTTTTGACCGGAGCTACAGACACTTGGGGAAGCATGTGGTAAGGGCTGCTGCTCGTTAGCTTTAACATTTCTTGACTTCCAAAGAAACAACTGCATCAGGGAATCATTATTTTCCCACAGAAAGTGGCCAAAGCTGCTCACACTTCCTATCATGCATGAGAAGATGTCCCTCTATTTACCAGGAGCCAAAGACTTCACTTTAACCTAGACACAAGTCAGATTATGGACAAAATCAGGCTCTTTCTTTTGAATATGCAGAGATCCTAGCAGCTCTTCCCCTTGACTTTCAATCCAAGAAGCCAGAGTTTGATGGCTTTAAGAGATAATCTGTAGTGCTTTTGTGACTCCCTATCAGTTACTGTGTTTAAAGGCATTCTGTAGAAGGTTTGTGACTCTCCTACAGGGAAAACATACTTCTGTGACTTTTTTTTTTAATATGAAGTCATTTGTATTTGAAGTTTTAATGTTCCCAGTATCAGTTCACAACTGAGAAAATTAAACCATACCAGCGTACTTAGGAACTAGAGTGTGTTGGAGCTACAGAAAGAGAAAGAATTTGGTCTTCGAGGAAGCACCAAGTTCAAGTTTCATACTCAGTTAGGCCCATAATTTGATTTATCTCCCCTCCAGACAAAAGGCAACAGCTTTGTGGCCAGACAGATGATGCTAAGAGGCACATGAGAGACCATGAAGTATGGCCAGCACTTTCTGTATTTTTATGATTGTTTTTATCTGGCCTTTAAGGGGGCATTGAATGTGCAAGGTGTCTGTCACAATCTCTTTTGTTCTCTGTGTTCTTACATTTGCTGGATTCGTTATGTGGATAATTTATTTGTTCTCTTGTCAAGCATTTGTCTCTATAGCCTCTCAGTTTAATTTGTATGTGAGAAACTGCAGACCTAAACACACTATCCTGCTTTAGGTCCTGTGGAGGCAGAGTCATATCTGGGCCTCAGATGCTCCCAAGCTCTTTCTTGAATTTGTAGTTGATTCCATTGGTCAAGTCCTACAAAGAAGGGAAAGTAGAAAGTGTGTATCTCCATCTATTGGCTTGCTGTGTTCTCCCGTCTCTGGCTCTCAGAAGAAGCATAAAGCACTAAGTTTCTAGTATCTTCCCTAAAGACATATCACTGCTTCTTCTGGCCATGTATGCATTCTAAGTGGACAAAAGGAAAGCAATGCAAAAGCTTAGATTTCTGGTGATAGAACCCCCGAATGGCACCTGTAATATTTTTGAACTGACACTCCTCTGTTATCTTTTAAATCTACAAGGGTGAAGTTGCTCATCCCAAGCTGGGAAAGGCAGCCCCACATTCTCGCAGAGGGCCAGGGCTGGCAGGGCACACCGATACTGTGGCACTTGAGTTGTCCTGTGCTAGACCTGCTTCCTCTCATCCCAGTAGATAACCCAGGAACAGCATCCTGGGACGTATTTCCTCGGGAAGAAAAAGAACAGAGGAGTAACTTTAAAAGAAGCTACTTCTGATATGGTATTAGACTCCAATTCATAGGGAAATTTATGCCTGAGATATGAATTTCTGAAAATAGAGGGTTTTTTTTAAAGGGAAACACTGACACATCCTTAATTATAGAGTAATAAATACCAATGGCATATTATCTTCTGATATTTCCTTACACAGATATCAAAGCATGCAGCTGGTTTTGAAAACTGATAATCAAGTACAATGTAAGTCTATTACATCTTGCTCTTACAGCCCACCCCTACCAGGCAGTACTATGGAAGACTGAACAGTGAGAGGCAGAGCCGATGCTAGCAGAAACCTAACTGAACAAATTAGCTTTGAATTGTAACTTAAGAATCACAGTCAAACCAAAATGCCTGTCCTTGCCAGGAAAGGCATTCCAAAGAGAACGCCAAGAAAAAGCTGTTGCTTCAGGATTATGGAGCAGTTCTGAAAAGCCTGAAGAACTTAGTGATCAATCAGGGAAATACAGAGTAGTAACTAGACAGCCCGAGGATGTTTAAAACATACAAAACATTAATAGTGAGTGGGGAAGTAGAACAGGGTTTTACCAGAAAGTACTAAGCTCCTCGCTCCATTTTTTTCTCCTTCAGTCCAGGCAGCAGAGAGAAAGAATCACAGTCAAAGAAAAGTATGTGGACGAATGTGGGGGGCAGAAGAGGAAATGAAGGTTAAACAAGGCCAATATGATTCAGAAGGAAGGGAGGGAGGAAGTGTAAGGAGCCAGCTGCAATTACTAACGTTACATTAAGAAGAGCCGAAACTGAGAGGGGGAGTCCTGGGTATTCTACTAAGTGGATTAATGTCCTCTTCCTTGAGTGTCTGAAGTTGCAGATTTTAATTTATTTGGTG